CACTTGGTTGCACTTATATGTATCACCTCTAATGAGCAACTAATGTAACCCATCCAGGGATCCCCTGTCCTCATGGGTCCTCCTTTCTGTCTATTTCTTGGAAGATCTTGCCTGATGTTTGTATTGCTCACACTCCACCACTGGTTTTCTCATACTTCATCCCAAGCATGTCTTCTCCTATTCCTCACTCATCCCTCACCCGGTTGGAAGCATTACCATATGACTTTAGGTTCTTGGTTCTTTGACAAGAGTTTACTCCATATCACCATTCTGTTAATGCTTTCAGTCAAATTGGCATGCTCCCCTTTTGTCCCTCTCCTAGTAGAGCTTATGTTTCAGGTCCACTCAGACATTTCCACAGTAGTGTCTCACATCAACCATCAAGGGGGCACCTGTTCCAGTATCATCTGTTTCCATACATTACATCTCCTCTGTTGGGCCCATTCTAATTGGGTGAGCTTGATTGCCTTCCACGCTCTGGGTGTTCTGGACATCATTGCGGACTATCTCTCATGATGAGACCACTTCCAACCCATAGAATGGTCCATTCACCCACTGATTTCCACTGAGCTCATTCCTAACTTGGTATTCCTTTATTAGCTGTGTTTACTTTACCACTGTATACAAATCTAAGTATAAACAGACTAAGTAGATCAAGAACACTACTTTGCAAGGATTTTTCCCCATGATCAGAGAGTTAGAGGTTTAAAATATGTCCATGCTTGTCACAACTTTAACCGGGACACAACTTCAGGAAATTAAAAAGTGTGGTATTACAAATATAACACATATCCATTTAAAAAAAATTAATCTATAGTTTATTTAACACTAAAGTATACAGTTAAGCAAATTATAAATTACAGTGTAATGCTATGTTAAAACTATCTTTATGCTTTATTCAGCAATAAAGCACACAATTATAAATTGGAAACAATGCAATGTAAAAAAATACAAAAACAGTAAATACCTTTAATTAACTGTAAAGTAGCTCAAATCTTGTCAGTTCCCTCTGGTTGGTAGTTCAAAATTATAGATGGTGGCTTTCACATAACTCAGAAACAAAGAAACAAATATAACACTCCCATGACTTAAAGGGCAAGCATGTTTAATGGCAACAAGAGTTGAACCTGAGACCCTCGAATCACAAGGCAACCCTCCTAATCACAGGGTTATGCCAACCCAAATATGAATAAACTTGAATTAGTCAAAAAAATAAGAAGAAGAAATTTCATTACTAGGATTGTTGGAATTATTCAAAACAGGAAGATTTTGAAATTCTAATATCTATTAGTTAAACTTATTTTCATGAGTTATTACACAAATCGAATAAACTAAACAAACTTGAATTTATCTAAAAGAATAATGAGCAATCATAGTGACAATATTTTAATGACTTTGATAGCTAGAATAATCAGAATAATCAAAAACATTTATTTGATTAGTTGATTATTTTTGTAACATGAATTAATTCAATCATGATTATTTTATGTAATACTGATCACTGTAATTGATTAACAGAGTTGGTTGTGAAACTTTATGGGGAGGAATTATGTGTGTTTTTGTGAATTAATGGTGAATTACATTAAATAACAGTATCTATAAATATTTTGAATGATCTTTTTGAAATACAGATTATGTATGTATATATGTGTAAATATTTATTATATGTTGTTGTATAATTATAAAGGAATGCCAGTTTTAATGGATAAAATTATTAAGATATAAATTTCAAGTTTATCATCAATTTATGAAGCAAGTAGTTGTAGTGATTGAACTAAACTTGTGACATTATGTTGTTTAAGATTTAACATGAGAGTTATTCATTTTGGTTTTCTTGTAGTAGCATCTGCATAGGGTCAAGGATATCTTTGTAATGAAAAAATGAACTATTTATTAGGCTTAAAGTAAAAATGTTGTTATTGTGGCTTTACAAGATAGTTAATACAGTACTTAATGAAAGTTTTAAAGGCAAAAATTCTTGCCTTATAATGAAATTATTCTATGAATATAATATTTTCAATTGAATGAAGAACATGCAAAAGTACTGTAGTACTTAGCTTATTTCCATGGAAATGGGAATTGTTAGGATGTATTCTAGTGAACCCTTGATAGATTTGAAACTAATTGGTAAATTGAATTAATAATATTGCCTAATTGGATAATCAGAACAGAGGGAGATAAAGCTGAAAAGTGTAGGGTATAAAATGCTCAAGTTGGTGGAGCATGACACTTGGTAGGATTATTAAACTGCACGTTTATGAATAGTGTTTCATATAATATTCTGGATTTTATAACCTAGCTAGCCTGGTGAACTCTTGCGTGAAGAATTTGTGACATAGAACAACAAGGTTTACGTATCTATGTAGCTTAAATGCCATTATACACTCTTCTTGTTTGGTTAGTAAAGAATGATATGATTTAGCTTATTATATGTTTTAATGTTACATTGTATCACATACATATTATTACTGAGTAGGAGAGCTACTGTGTTTGCCTGTGATATTACTTGTAATAGTGTCAACCACATTTAATTTACGTATCTATGTAGCTTAAATGCCATTATACACTCTTCTTGTTTGGTTAGTAAAGAATGATATGATTTAGCTTATTATATGTTTTAATGTTACATTGTATCACATACATATTATTACTGAGTAGGAGAGCTACTGTGTTTGCCTGTGATATTACTTGTAATAGTGTCAACCACATTTAATTGAGTAAGATATCTAAGGCCTATGCTTTACACAAGATGGTAAAAGATTATGATTTGTTGTCTTTGAATACACTATTTGTAGTGAATGCTGTCTTAGTTCTTCTTCTGTAGCTTTTTCCATATCTATATGGGGTCGCTATCTTTGACAGCACGTTTCCACTCTCCTCGGTCTTCGT